TATCTATCTATCTATCTATCTATCTATCTATCTATCTATCTATCTATTTCTTCTTTTTCTATTCTTTCTGTTGGCACATAGACAGAATGTGTCTTATATATCAGATCTAAAAAGTCCCTGCAGCTCCTTGAACAAAGTTGTGGACTCGTGAAATTTTACTTTAACGTAAAACCCTTTAACAATTTATTGCAAAACACCAGCAGAATAAAGAAACTGCTTGTATTTTCAATAACTGTCTTTTCAAAGCCAACAAGCTCTGCAGATTTACAGCACCCGAATCTGATTTCCCACCAACACTGAACTTTTAAAAAAGGTTCAAACTGAAATGACCGCTAAGGAATGCAAAAACGGGGCTTCTTCTAACACCACATGACACCTTTTAAAAAAAGTTTGGGATGGATTTCTTCCTTCCTTCTGCGAATGTGAGCAATTTCTGCCTGTTTCTAAGAAAAGCCACTGAAGTAACTGTCAGAGAATTCTGTTTTCAGAGGCTACATCCACGCTTAAGTGTGAGATAGATTTAGGTTTTTTTCACCTCTTACCTGTATTATTTTTGTGATTCTAGGCTGACCGTTTTTCTGGCAAGTCATATTCAGTGTTGGGTAAGTTACTTTAAAAATGTAATCCGTTACAGTTACAAGTTACCTTGTTTGAAATGTAATTGTAGTGTAACTTTTTCGATTACTTTAAAAAAGTAATGTAACTAATTACGTTCGATTACTTTTTGATTACTTTAAGGTTTTAATGAGTATTGACCCATGATTAATTTTAGCATGTTAGTATTAGCCGTTAGCCGCAGCTAGCAGTTCAAGGCTAACGTCTGTTATCGATACTTTTTAAAATGAGTATCGTATCCGGATACAACATTTTAGTATCGATACTTTTTTAAGTATCGATACTTTTGACAACCCTAGTCTGAAATGTAGGACATGTCCGGGAAAAAGAGGACGTCTGGTCACCCTACAGTTGGGTAGGCTAGGCTAGGCTAGGCTAGGTCATAGACATCGATAAACGTTTGTCATGCATCAACACCAAACAGTCAAATATTAGTAAATCAATACGCTTCGTCTATCAGTGAGTTGCATATTTCGCAAAGGTTTTTCTTTATATTTTTTAAAAAATGTAACCAAATTTGCAATTCTTAATATTTTCGGAACTGTAACTGAATTAGATATTTTCTCATTGTAACTGTAACGAATTACAGTTACTCTTTTTTTGTAATTAAATTACGTAACGTCGTTACATGTAATCCGTTACTCCCCAACACTGGTCATATTGCATCACTTCTTTGTCGCGGAAATTCTTTTCTGTGGAATTTTCCGTTGCTGTTCGACCACTGAAAATGACAGATTTTCCCTTCAACAACACAAATATTTCTGTGGACTGTATTTTTCCACACAGAGGAATTAAAGTAGTTCAGATAATGTACTTTCCTTAATAGGAGCACGTCAGGAATCTTTACAGAACCAACCAAAGATCAGTTTCATCATGTCTTGGATAGATATTTCTTTTCTTTATTTCAGTTATTTGCTCATGGTGATGTTTAAAGAACACTGAACCAGTATTTGTAGCAACTGGAGAATGGAGAAATAGAGTTTCTTTGAGTTCTATGTCTCACCACACAAAGGTTTTAGTCAAGAATGGGCTGACTCAGGCTGAATTCTGAGTCATGAGCCCTCCGTGAATCAAGGCCGCGGGATGAAAGAAAAGAGAAGGAATTAGAAAGAATGGGCAGATTAAACCACCGGAAGACAGACTTTTTTGTTTGTGGTTGTGTTAGACTGACTCACTCCATTCATATCTTTTCCAAAGTAGCCAAAGTCAGTCAGAAGATCGATACCTTTAACTTTTTCATGAGCCTCACCTTGCTCCTCTCACAGGTTTGTCTCCCTCCCTCCATTTTCTGTACCGCTCATTTCCAGTGTGGTTTAGATTAGATTAGATTAGACTACATTATTGATCCCGCAGGGGGGGGGGGGGGGGGGGTCCACACGTTACAGCAGCAGAACAAACAAAACACAAAGGGCAGAAAGAGAAACACACACAGTAAGACCAGTGGAGGCATAAGAAAATGGATTTATCGGGGGAGTTTAAAAAAAATATTACAAGCAATGGGCAGATTCCTTACACAAAGTAAATAAAATATGTAGGTGTACAGTGACCAGTGAGATATCACCCTTGACCGTGGGGGGGTTATGCCAGTTTAAAACACCGTGGACAGTTTGTCAGTCGATCACAGGGTCACACAGAGACACACAACCACACACAATGTTGCTAACCACCACACTAGCTGTTAGAAACTTCAACAATAATTAAGATTTAGCTCATTTCTCCACTTCTGTTTGCAAATGTGCTGTTTTCCTGTTTTTGTCCTGTGTATTATCTCCTGTTGACTCTCTTTATGAAACCAGGTGGAACCACTCACTAATTTTAACTTCAAGCATCGGGAGGTTGGAGGGAGTTCTGGATTTATGGAGGAGGAGGGAGAGCTGGGATTCAGGATGTGTTCCGGGGTCCGGGTCAGTGGGAGGAGAGCGGCTTAGTCCAGCCCAAGGCAAAGCGAGGAACAAAGCAGGGCCGATGATCCATGAATTATAGGCGAGAATCTGAAATCCTTAAACCAAAAGAAAACAGAATAGAAACCCTAAAAGCTCCACAACCATGTCTTAAAGACATACAGACCAGAATCAGGTTTGGAATCAGGTTCAGGTCCTTCAGGTTTGGCTTTAATTAATAATTTTAAAAGAAATAGAGACATTATAGCTAAAAATTTAGAGCTTTGTGGATATAAAGTGCCCTTTGCAAAATAAATTTGTTTTTCAGGCAGTATAAGAAAACCATTCTGCTTTCTATTACACTGGACAGAAAACAAGTTATAAGATAAACAACAACAACAAAACAACGAAAAACGACACATCGATTAGGCCTACCAGTCCTCATTCAATCTCCTCCCCACCCACCCAGACACATATATCCACCCCTTTTTCTTGCCTGTTTCTTATTGCATGCTCCCTCCACTCTTCTTCTTTTTTCCTCTTTCAGCATGGCTGCCCTTCTTTCAAATGTTCTCTGCAATGTTTGAACTTTTGTGAGCTCTCCCCGTCTTGTGTTTCTGTTATTACCACCATCAGAGACCCTCTCTTAACACTCCAGACTCTCTATTCTGTCCATTCCCCCGTACATCTACCTGTACCTGTGCATGAGGGGGCAGGTGCTTTTATCCAGAGTGCCTACTTCTGTGTTTATGCATTATGAATAGTGAAAAAAAACAAAAAAAACAGAAGGTCTCAAAGATCCAGCGGTGTTGAGAAGCAGCAACGTTCGGAAGTCAGCACACGAGAAGTTGTTTGCTTTCTGCAAGCTTGTGTTGTTTAGAATCTCTGGGATGAGAACTTTTGGCTCCATTTAAAGCATTGAAAATTGTTTTTAAAAAATAAATAAATAAATAAATAAATAAATAAATAAATAAATAAATAAATAAATAAATAAATAAATAAATAAAATAAAATGA